CTAAGGCTATAAACTCAGACTCCATTGTAGAGCGAGTAATGCATGTCTGTTTGGATGATTTTTCAAGAAACTGCTCATTCACCAATGGTAAAAACATATCCACTTGTGGACTTTGTTTCTGATGATTCAGTAATCTAATTTGCATCACTATATCCTTCAATTACCGCAGGATACTTACTGTAGTGCAAAGCATAATCTTGGATATGTATTAGATAGATAAGCAAATCTTCTAGCTCTTGAAGAGTTGAGAAGAAGTGGTGCCTCGTGCCGTCGTCGCTCGCTCGGCTTCGGCTTCGGCTTCGGATTCAGATTTAGTCAATTGATATGATTGATTGATAATTTTTTGGACCAAATTAATTTCCCATTTCAGTTATTTAATTTCTTTTCTTATACTTTTCGCGGAATTTTTAATTTAAAATTTGCGGTTCCCAACGGTCAAATTCGCGAATAACAGAATTTTAATTCTGGCGAACATATACCATTTTAAAAGAGCAGGTATCTTGGCACCTATTGAAACCCAAATCGTTGGCCTCATTTTTCAATACTAAAAATCTGCATACTCTCCCTCCTCTCTTCTGCATTCCTGTACTGTTTTTTCAAAGCAAAATATAAGCATAAGTGTGGTTTACTGTCGTTTTATTAAGTTCGATGAAATTCTGTAATTTTTATTACCGGTATTACAGAATAGTTATTCCGTTCTATTCTGGGAGGGATTAAGGCAACAGTGAGCGGATTAAATTCCCTAAGGAAACATAGTTTTTTGTTGGGCTCGAAACTTTTATTTATTTTGTTTATATTCTATTTCTGCTTTTGTTTTGGTTTAATTTTTGTAGAAATTATTTTCAAATACATGTTGATAACAAGCTTACGGAATTTAATTTTATATTTTGTGTTCATCTTTCTTTCTACTTTGGGAGAATAAAATCCTAGCAATTTTCTACTTCCCTTTTGGAGATTAAAATCTTCGAATTTTTCTACTCCAGTTTGAGATTAAGTGTTTGTGACTTTCTACTCAATCCGAGATTAAAATCCTTTTCATTTTCTACTTGGTTGTTTGTATTCGGTTTGAAGATATAAAAACTTCATCGACTTACTAATTCTGGTTGTGTCAATTTTTTTTACAAAAAAATAACAATAAGTACGGAATAACATAATGGTTTTGTTGGGACTACTACTGCTGCAATGACTATTGAGTCTTCAAGTTTCACAATGCCTGCACGGGTGATGGCACCGACAAAAAAGCCCGAAAAGTTTTTCGGCGTAGACTTTAAGTGTTGGCAGCAGAAAATATTCTTCTACATGACCACACTTAGTTTGCAGGGCTTTATTAGCAAGGACGTTCCAGTTTTGGGAGAAGAAACTCCTGAAAATGAGCGATTTCTGGTCACAGAAGCATGAAAGTACTTCTTATGCAAAAATTATATTTTAAGTTTCTTGGAAGATGGCTTGTAAAATGTTTATATTGTCATGAAAACATCAAAAAAGTTGTGGAATTCTCTTGAAAAAAAAGTACAAGACTGAAGATGATGGACTTAAGAAGTTTGTGGTCGACAAATTTCTGGATTTCAAAATGGTTGACGGAAAATCTGTCATAACGCAAGTCCAAGAATTGCAAGTTATTGTTCATGACCTCCTTGCTGAAGGTATAAACCGAGGTAATATTTTTATTCAAGATATTGATTATTTTACTAATTATAAATTTATTATTAAAGGTATGGTCATAAATGAAGTGTTTCAAGTTGTTGCATTTATTGAAAAGTTGTCTCGGCTATGGAAGGACTTTAAGAATTACTTAAAACATAAGCGCAATGAGATGATTCTTGAAGACCTTATGGTTCGTCTACGGATTGAAGAGGACAACAAGGCTACTGAAAAGAAGCTCCGTGGTAACTTAACAATAATGGGAGAAAATATTGTTGAGGAAGCGTCTACCAGCAACAAAAAGAGAAAGAAACTGTCTGGTCCAAAGAATTACCCTAGCAAGATGAAGTTCAAAGGTAATTGCCACAACTGTGGAAAGGTTGGACATAAGGTTGTGGAATGTTGTGAACCGAAGAAGGACAAGAAGAAGAGTCAAGCAAATATGGTTGGAAAGAATGATGAAATGGATGACTTATGAGTCATGCTATCTGAATGCATCTTGGTAGGAAATCACAAGGAGTGGTGGATTGATTCTGGAGCCACTCGCTATGTTTGTGCTAAAAAGGAGTTATTTGCCTCTTATGTTCCCGCAGGGCCCGACGAGGCTATCGTTATGGGAAACTCCACAACAACAAACATTGAAGGAGTTGGAAGATATCTTAAGATGACTTCGGGCAAAGTTGTGACTCTAAACAATGTTCTCTATGTTCTTGAAATTCACAAGAATTTGGTTTCTATTGGACTTCTTATCAAGAATGGATTGAAGTGTGTGTTTCTTTCTGAAAAAGTTGTAATAAGTAAGAATGATGTGTATGTAGGAAAATGTTACTTAACTGAGGGCATTTTCAAGTTAAATATAATAGTTATTGATTTCAATAAAGTTTAAGTTTCTTCTTACTTACTTGAGTTAAATAATTTATGGCATGTACGTTTATGTCACGTCAACTTCAAAACTATACAAAAATGGTTAACTTGGAAGTATTGCCTAAATATGAATACGATAATTTGAAGTGTCAAATATGTGTGGAATCTAAGTATGTTAAACATCCTTATAAATCAGTTGAAAGGAATTCAAATCCTTTAGACTTAATTCACACAGATATTTGTGACATGAAGTCAATATCATCTCGCAGTGGGAAAATGTATTTCATAACTTTTATTGAAGACAATACTAGATGTTGTTATATTTACTTATTTAAATTAAAGATGAACAATTGAGGCATTCAAACAATATAAAAATAAAGTTGAAACACAACTAAATAAAAGGCAAAATATATAAAGAGAGACCTAAAGTTGGCCCTAGATATCTATCTCATACTCTAACTTACTATGCACTTTATGTTTGGTTTTATTGTATCAAAGTAAACACACATCTCTGACATGGCAACTCGAGTGAGATACAAATGCTGGGCAGAACGTTAGGTGAAATTTTTCTTGATTGTAACAGTTAAAAAACTACAAAATTACTATTATACCCTTAATAAATTTCTTTTATATTTATCCCAATTCTCAAATTCCTAAACCTAAATCCCCATTCTTCCCCGACTCTTTCCTACTTTTATCTTCCCGCTTTCTCTATTACGAAGCATTATCAAAAATGGAAAGCACCTTGTATTATCATTGTGGTAAAAGGGCAGAATTGATGATTTCGTGGTCATAATATAACCTAGGTCGTAGGTATCTTGGATGCCAATATGGTCGAGTAAGTAATTTTTAGAGTTATTTTTTGTGCCTATTTTGTTCCTTCAAAATTGGTTGGCCAAGACTCCATTTTTATGGACTTTTCTTACTATTTTATAGGAAGGGTGTAAGTATTTTAAGGGGTTTGAAGATGAATTTTCTGAACAAGATAGGATTGTAATTTGGGAATTTTTGAAGAGGATCAAAAAATACGACGAAGAAAAGGAAAAGATGAGGAGAAAGTACAAAATGTTGCTGGTCATTGTGATACTCGTTTGGATTGTTAGAGAGTTTCTTATGTAATATTTGCTATGTATATTGAAATTTAGTTGGTTGAAGGAGGTCTTTTGTGTATTGGCAGTTATGTAAAACAGTAGCTCATTTGAATGCTGTAATGTAAGAAACTTAGATGAATACAAGTTGAACCACTTTTGGACTAATATTTTAGCTAAATTTTGACATGACAATGTTCTCTCCAACCGCAGCTACAAGACACAAATACAAACTGTACAATAAGCTCTACCAAGACAAATACAATCTGTAGAATAAACTACAAATTTCATTGCTCAAACCAAGGCAATAGTCACAAAATAAAATGCCAAACATACATCTGAAACATTGCTTTAATAGCAAATAACTAAAACTGTAGTTTTAGATTCATGAAAACCAAATTAGACAAAACACTTGAACAAACTACATAAAGTGAAAACTTCTCTAATGAGTCTTTTTCTTCTTCATTTGCATCTCTTTTTGTTGTTGAAGTTGGTTTCTAGTAATAGCAGTTTTTCTCTTTCATTTCAATCTAGGTAGCTTGAATCCAAGATCAATATTGGTAGGTATGCATTCTTTAATTGTCTCCCACTAGAGATGACTCTTTCACTTAGTGTTTCGGGCTGTAAATTTAGAGTGATATCTATTAGGAAATCTGTTAATAACTTATGTGTTATCGTATAGAAATGTGAAAGAGCTTACATTAAGAACTAGTCTCCATATTGTGTGTCTATTGAAATGCCGAATCCCAGTTCTCTTGTTTTTTTTTTCGACAGCAGCAGAAATAGATTTACAGCTTGTTTGGATGGTTGTTCCCCGTTATATCATATTGTATTGTTATCCCAAAACAACGTTTGTTTTGATTGTTTCATTAAAATTGGTTGTATTGTATTTGGTTGTATTGTATTGTTAAATCCATTGTTCCGGAACAATGAAAAGTCCCATTTTTTGAAACAACCGATTTGGTGTGGTGGGATTGTTTCCTATTTTTCTTTCCAATTATGCCCTAACTTATTACTCCATAATTCTATTTTACCCTTTAACTTTTTTTCTATTTTAACTCTAAATCTCCAACCTATAACCTACTTTATTTGTTTCCAAAACTTCTGCCGCCAACATTATAGGTATTTTGCCGCCTTCTGTTTGATTTTTCTCCTAATTTGCTTTTAACTCAATTCTAATTAGTTGTGTTCCTTTGTTTTACCTTCTTCTGTCCGCTTTTTTCTGCTTTCTTAAGGTGTTTGCCTTCTTCTGTTTTGTTTTTTTAAAATTATTTTTATGCATAATTTTTGATAAATTTAATATTTAAACAATTGAGGGTATTTTAGTAAACTTATCAGTTACAATACAGTACGATACAGTCAAACCAAACAGCAAAATATTATTTAACAATAACAAACAATACAATCTATCCAAACATTGTATTCATAAAACGATACAATACAATACGATACGATACAATACATTATAAAACAATAAGGAACAATGATCCAAACAGAGTGTTAGTAGCAACATGAAGAGAATCAGTAGTAGCAAATCCAACAGGTGTACTGGCTGATGTACTTGTTGAATCAGAATCATCCCCCTTCCCCTTCCTCTACCAATTCCCCTTCCCTTTCCTCTGCCAACTCCTATTTCTAGTCCTCTCCCTCTCCCAGTAAAAATATTATTTCTAACTCTTGTAGTATCTTGACACAAAGAAGAAGGAACACTGAAATGTTGGGTACTAGATTGTCTCGTTAGCATTGCTTCGGTAGTTGTACTAGATTGTTGAGTAGCAGGTTAACTGTTTGGTATTGCTTCAGTCGTTGTTGTTTGTGGTCTTTCATGAGGCTATAAGTAACAAAACAAAGGTTAGAAGACAAAGGCTAACAAGTAAGTAGATCAATGAAAATAACAAAGCACACACCCCTATTTGCACCTTTTTTTTGTTGTGGCCAACTTAGTGGTAGTTAGAACATGTCATCTTGGCTCCTTTCTTTGATGTTTTTCCCCATTTCTTTTTTCTTGGTTCATCTTTTTCCTTTCTCCTACATCTCTTGGGTCTATCAGGCATTGGTTTAACTTCAAATAGCTCGACTGGTGGGTTATTTGATTCAGGCCACATCTTCATATTGGGTATTGGTTGAATGAAATACTTGTAAGCATTCAAGTATGTATCTTTTCTATACCAATGCTCAACATAATCTTTTCGATCTTCCCCAATATGAAATAATGCACAAACTACATGGGCACAAGGGATACCCCTCAACAGCCATAGTTTCCAACTACATGTTTTCCTAACCATGTCAACAATGAACCTATATTCTCCTTCCTCAATTTCAAAGTCAGTATCAGCATTCCTCATCACTTTTAATCTTATACCAACTTATTTGTTTTCTTCTAAAGCTAATCTTGCCATGGGTGAAATGTCATTGATCCAAGTTTCAGCAAATTTGATCATATCCCCATGTCTATTCATTATCTTATGTCTAATATCTTCAAGCATACTAATGATTGTATTATGCTTAGGACCCACAATCCAAGAGTTAAATATCTCACACATATTATTTTCAACAATATCACACCTAACAGTTTCACTAAAATAAGCCCTACACCAGTACTCTTTGTTATAACTAAGTGGGGATTCACAAATGTTATGCCCAAGTTTATCCAAGTGTTCAAATTCTTCTTTCAATTTTATCTCAAAACTAGCCTTGGCACATTTCCATAAAGCTTTTCTTCTTGCTCCACCTCTCCATATTTTTTGCCAGTTTGCCCAAATATGTCTTGCACACATCCTCCTTTCAGCATTAGAAAGTAATTCTTGAACAACTGGAACAAGAGCCTTATATACATAAAAAGAGGAAACATAATGAAATAAGAAACAGAAATGAACTAAGCAACAATAAAGAATTAAGCAACAGAAAAGAAAGTAGTATAGTACCTTTTTCATGCCAGACATTACTGTTAATCCATCTCCCAGACCAAGCTCCAAATCTTGAATGAGATGACTTAAGAACCAACTCCAAGAATGTTTAGTTTCTTGGTCAATAACTGCCCATGCTATTGGGTACATTTGCTGATACTCATTCTTTCCTATAGCAACTAATTGTTTCTTGCAGCTTATACACTCTAATATCAGGTGAGAGATTATTCTGTCCTTGAACTACTTCTTAGAAATATATTTAGTTGAGCATAACTTGTTCTTGTTTTTTTGTATTACATTTATGGACTGGATAGTATTTTTTTCACGATGAAATCTCCTGAATCTTTATCAATAGTAGCATACAGTTCCCAATTACACAACTTTCCTTTACATTTTACCCTTACTCTATGTGGTTCATTAGGTCTTAGAGTTAATTGAACTTTCTCCTGAATAGCATACTCAGCTACAACTTGTCTAAAGCTTTACATATTTTTAAATAGCATACCTAATTCAAATAAAGCATACTTGGCAGAATCATCATACCTTAGCCTTTTGCTTCTTCTTTTGGAACGTAAATCAACACATGATTGTGCAAGAACATCTAAATATTCACTACTGTCTTCACTAGCATCATCTGATGAGTCAATGAAGTCTTCATTACCACCCAACTTTCCAACAAATATGTCTTTCTTGTTAAGCCTTAGATCCTCAAATCCATTAACTACCCCAGCTTCCCCAAGCTCCACTTCTTGAATGACATTGACTTTTCTATGTTTTTTGGTCTTTCTTTCACTTATCTTTTCTTTTCTAGCAGTCTCTCTAAAAGCACTCAATTCTTCATCAATTTTACTATCATCTTCATCAGGAATATTATTTAAGTTATCTTCTTCAAAGTCTACATTATCACTACTATCTTCATCTTTAAGAGCTTGTTCTACTTCCCCTTCAACCCCAACTGCCTCATTTAAGGTCACATTTATAGCACCCTCAATCTGTGTTGCCCTAGAATTAACCATACTTTCTATATTAATTGTTTCTTGGTCCATGTCACCAACCAGTGGACCTACAACACTGCCAGCAGGGACCCCTTCTTTCACCATGACACGTTTCACATACAAGTCAATAATGGACCCAGTATGCGAGTCTTTAATAATATATAGTTGGTTGTCAATTTCCAATGCAACATATTGAATATTGGTAGGGTCTTTGACATAAACGCCTTCAACTTTATCATACCCAATATCCTTAGTGTAACATTTCATCTCGGTCAGAGAGAAATGGTCTTTATCTATAGTAAAGACAACCCTTTCCAACTCCCCAACATATTGTCCTTCAGTAACCCTACCCCGTAGTGAAAAACAACAATAATAGAGCCACAAATTTGAACAAACTCTGAAAAAGACAAGAAATAAAGGTCAAGATTCCCTATCCTTTAACAGACGAAAAAGCCAAAACATTTTTCCCTTTAGCCGAGTACAGTAACAGAGTAAAACTTTTCCAACTTAAATAACAAAAAATCCATTTACAAACGCATGAAAAAGAGATAACAAATAGTAGAAATGCTAATACCTCTTAATAAAATTTCTTCTGTTATTTGTCTTCAAGCCCACTCCGATCGATATCGATATCGATATCTTCCCCACCGATGACTAACGACAGATGACCGAAGCAAAATTAAAGGCAAAGAATGGATAAGGTTCTAGTTTTTAAGTTTTATCGAAGATATTGAACGATTACCCACACCATTGAAGAGATTGATGAAGATCGATTTGAGGAGATTTGGGAATTAGGGTTTTTAGTAAAAAGAAATTTACTGAAATGAAAACCCCCGCTTAATTTGTCCTCTTTTGAATTGTTTTAATTTTCTTTTTCTTTTTTCGTTTTAATTTGTCGCTGGAAGGTTTAACCACGTGTAGTCTACGTGTTGAATTCTGATTTGTTCACTTAACCACGTAGGAGCGACTGTATGTCACGCACTATACCTTCCACAGACTGTGTGTTTACTTGACACAATAAAACCAAACATAAAGTGTGTATATGGTCAACTTTAGGTGTGAGATAGATATATGGGGCCAACTTTAGGTGTCTTTTTATGTATTTTTTTGCCTAAATAAAAAAATCAAATGATAAGAAGGGGTGGTGAATATGAATCTCATTTTGAAGAAATATGTTTGGAATATGATATTATTTACCAAACAACTGTCTCTTACCCACTACAATCTAATAAAATTGCGGAAAGAAATAATAGAACATTATAGGAGATGATGAATGTCTTGTTGACAAGTTCTTATTTACCCCAGAACTTGTGGGGGGGAAGCTATTCTTACGGCTAACCAAATACTCAATCGAGTTCTCTATAGTAAAATGCAATCCATTCTATATGAAAAATGAAAAGGTAGGAAACCTAATTTAAAATATTTTTAAGTGTGGGGCTATTTAGCTAAAGTGCAAGTTCCTAAACCCAAAAGGATAAAGATTTGACCGAAAACCGTTGATTGCATTTTCATAGGATATGCAAGAAATAGTAAGACATATCATTTTCTCGTTCATAAATCAGAAAATCCCGATATTCATATTAATATGATAATTGAATCCGATAATGCTGAACTCTTTGAAAATATTTATTCATATAAAAATGAATGCAAGTCGTTTAATGAAAAATCTAAGCGACCTCGAGAATAAGCAAATAAAAGTACGTTTAATGAGGAAAATCCAAGACATAGTAAACGTCAAAGAATAACTACTTCCTTTGGACAAGATTTTCTGACATTTTTATTGGAAAAAGAGCCTCAAACGTTTAAAGAAGCAATATCTTCCTCGGAAGTACAATATTGGAAGGAGGCAATCAATAGTGAGATAGACTCCATATTAAGTAATCATACTTGGGAATTGGTTGATCTTCCTCCAGGAAATAAACCTTTGGGTTCTATGTGAATTTTCAAAAGGAAAATGAAAGTTGATGGTATTATTGACAAATATAAAGCAAGATTAGTTGTTAAAGGGTTAAAACAACGAGAAGGTCTTGATTATTTTGATACATAATGGCCGGTAATGAGGATTACATCTATTCGGGTGCTAATAGCATTAGCCGCCGTGTATGGTCTTGAAATCCATCAGATGGATGTGAAGACAACCTTCTTAAATGGTGATTTGGATGAAGAAATTTATATGGAACAATCTGAAGGTTTCGTGGCTTTCGGAAAAGAAAAGAAGGTGTGCCGACTAGTTAAGTCACTTTACGGATTGGAACAAGCACCCAAACAATTGCATGCGAAATTTGACCAAACAATATTGGCAAATGGATTTAAGATTAATGAGTGTGATAAATGTGTTTACATTAAAAACACTCCAAATCATATAGTCATTGTATGTTTATATGTTGATGATATGTTAATAATGAGCAAAGATATTGCGGATATAAATGCTACTAAGTGTATGCTTGCTAGCAAGTTTGATATCAGAGACTTAGGAGTTGCTGAAAATCCATAGGACTCCTCAAGGACTGACATTGTCTCAATCTCATTACTTTAAAATGGTACTTGAAACATTCGAGTATTTAGATTTCAAAGTCACAAAGAACCCGATTGATGTAAATGTGGCTCTTACAAAAAAAACCTAGGTCAAAGCAGATCTCAATTGAATTATAGTCGTCTATTGAAAAGTTTAATATACATAATGAATTGTACACGTCCTGATATCGCTTGTGCAGTAAGTAGGCTGAGTCGTTACATAAGTAATCCCGACCAAACTCATTGGATGTCAATGACACGAGTTTTGGGATTCGGATTCGTACCGAATTTGGCCGTCGGGAACTGCGAATTTTAAATTAAAAATTCCGCAGAAAAATAGTAGAAATGAAATTAAATAACGAAAAACGAAAAATGAATTTGGTCCAAAAATTTATCAATCAATCATCCGAAGCCGAAGCATAGCCGAGCGAGCGATAACGACGACGGTGCGACACCACTTCTTCTCAACTCTTTAAGAGCTAGAAGATGTGCTTTTCTATATAAGCGCAAAGATTATTTTTTTTCTATTTTATGATGAGGGATAAAGTGCATTAGTAAAGGAAACACTTTAACTTTTCGTTTTCCTCCAAATCTTTTCCCTCCATTTCTCATTCAAACCTCTTATCTAATTAGATTAAAAAAACAACAACAATTATTACTGTTAAATATACAAGATATTTGCCTATACGTACCAATGATACTGCCCACTACTGTTATATCATATTTCACTTAAAAATATCAGCAAACATTATGAGTTTACATATTATATTTATAAATTAGTTATAAAAAATATGATGCATATTTGTTATACGGAAATTTATCAAGCCTAAATTTGGTTATACGATATGCTGATATTATGCTTTTCAAATCATTTATTTTCTAGTTTTATGCTTTTCAGTTCATTTAGTTCTTATGCATTTCAATTTATTTATTTTCTATTATGATATTAGAAATATAATATTTTGAATCCATACGAGGGAGTTAAACTTATATTGTTTTAGCAAAAATAACAAAATGAAAAAAAAACGTTGCAGGGCAGGGCGGGCTGGGTCTTTGCAAAGCAGGACGGGGAGGGTTGAAAATAGAAAAAACTGTTATGCGGAGTGGGTTAAAATTTACGGGTTAAGCACCAACCCGCACTGCACCCGCTCCATAGCCGTTTCGATCGGCACATTATGCAAGAATTTCATGTCGCCGATCTCTTAGGCAATCTGTATTTAACTGGGACTTAACGCCGTCAGCTCGTTCCATTAACTTTTCACGATTTGCTCTAGGCCTTAACGCCCGTTAGTTCACTCCGTTAATTTTAAACGGAAAGTCATCTTAGATACAAAATAGAGCCCACAAAATACCAGCAAATAAGGAAGAATTCTTCATTTAGAAGTTAGAATATTCACGGATTACTAACATATAGAGAATACAAGGACCATAGTCAAAATATGGTGGTTTGAGAATAGAGTAGAGGGATGTGTTACTCTCTGGAATACTCTGCTGTAAAAAACACATTGTTCGACCGGAAGCAGCAAGAAGCTTCTCAAGATTATCAAGTGTATGTGACTTCTTTTCTGACTTTTCACGTTCCTGCTAGAAGGTGTTAAATGTATCATGCATAGCTCTACATCATATAAAGCCACCTTTACATCCTTTCCTTACTGCACTGCTTCCTTCATACCACTGGCCACTAACAGTATAACAAGGCGCAAGGACCAACAGTTAGAAGATGGCTTTGGCTCGTTTAGCTTTAAAGAATGTACAGCAGAGGACGATGGCCTCAAGCCCCTCGACCACCTTCTCTAGGACTGTTGACAATCTACAGAAACTGAGATGGAGTTCTGACCTTGTAAATCGTTTCTCCACAGCTGGTGATGGTGAAGATAAAACAGAGAAACGTGAAGTAGCAGTCTCTGAAGGTGGCAAGAAGTCCAAGCTCTTTCCTAGGAGACGCGGTCGCGGCAGTCTCGGGAGACGCCGCAATCCTGACTTTGCACCTGCTATTTGGGGTACGATCGACATCCTTACGCCCCTTTTTCAATTCCACTTTTTATTGAAATTGATAATATGCTCACTTTGTTTAATGTTACAGATGTTTTACCTTTTGGACTTGGAAATGCATTGATTCAAGCTTCGGAGAACATCAACAGGCTGTTTGAGAATCTGAACGTGAGTCCCTCACAACTTATGGGTAGATATAAAAAGGACGACAAGAGCTACAAAATCAAGTATGATGTGCCAGGTCTCGGGAAAGAGGACGTGAAAATCACAGTGGAAGATGGGATACTGAGGATAAAGGGAGAGCACAAGGAAGAGCAAGAGGAAGGTTCAGATGATGAGTTCTGGTCTTCAACAAGCTATGGATACTACGACAACAGCATTGTGCTTCCTGAAGATGCCAAAGTTGATGAGATCAAGGCTGAGATGAAAGATGGTGTCTTGACCCTCACTATTCCTAGAACTGAGAAGCCTAAGAAAGACGTTAAAGAAATTCGAGTCTTGTGAGCTCCAAAATGTTATTCAGTGCTGTAATAATCCCAGCCCGATCTAGTTTTCGTTTTTCAGTCCAGATGGAAATAAATCTGTACTACTAGTAACTACGAACTCTGTTTTCTGTTCTTAATTTCGCTATTCGAATAAAAGAGTGCTATGCGTGTGTGTTCTGACACTATGTCTTCATCAAGAGGATTGTTGCAGTGCTATTTTCTTTTAAAAATCCAAGACTAATTTGTTGAGCCGAATTAAAATACATAAAAATAGATAAACTTTTTTAAAAGATCATAAACATTTTGTGAATCTAATTAACTGTCTGCATTTTGTGATCTCCAACTCTGTTTCTTGGCTTTGCCACTTGGAGTATAAATTATTAAAGCTGCGCAGACATTGTTATTATTGTCCCGATGTCAAACGCCTTAAGTTCTGAACAGGAACCAAACAGCTGTCTTTTGCGTTCTCAGTACGTTACGCTACAAACGCTTGAACCATGTTATTAATTTGTTAACTTTTGTTAATAGTCTATCTTGCTTTCAACTTTCGTTAACTGCTCCGTTTGTTTTGCCCTCTGACGACTTAAAAAAGATAGTCGCGGTTAGATTACATTCTCGATTATATCTTTTAAGGAAGTGATGTTACAGTACTACTGTGGACCCAAAAAAAAGAAAAAGAAAAACAGAAGTTGATTACTGATACGAGAGGAGAAATGTACTATTAGCTTTTTAAGCATGAGATGAGTTGTAACTTCAACTAAGAAAGGAATAGAGCGACCAGAGAGAAGAACAGAGTGTCCTGCCTTTATACTCAGTTGCAGTTAGCTGAAGATATAAGAGATCTATGTAATGTCTTACCGATTGCTAGTAACCAAAACTATTCATGGAGGACTCGAATCTAAGCGGACAAGTATTACAACTTACTGTTGAGAGATGTAGACCCCACCTATTTAACTAAACTACAGTTAGTAGAGTAGTTAGTTTTATACTATACTATAGTGAGTAGTTGAGTTAGTTACAACTAACAAGTGTATAAGTAGTAATTTAATCTTAGCTCAATGTAACAGTGTATATTTTTTCTCAGCATAATGACGTAATTGATTGCTTCTGCTTCTTCTTATTTCTTCTTCTTCTCATATCTCTTCTCCTGTAACCGCCATAGTTGAAGCTTCTTGACATGGTATCAGAGCACGGTTAAACGAGTGTTAGCTCAGCTGCGACGGATTTAATTGAGTCAATTTCCTAAGTAGATCTGATCAATTGAGCCAATTCTCAATCTGGATCTCACTCCTCGCAAGCTAGGGTTTGGAGATTTGTTCGATTGAGCCTCAATTGACAGTCAATAGCTGCATTTCTATTCAATCTCAGAATTCTCAGATATTTTCCTTCAATGTCTGCAACAATGCTGGCCAATGAAGAAGTTGCTGATAATCAGACTATCGCACATTCAGTTGATAAAGTCGATCATCATCATCCTCTGTATATCCATCCATCTGATACACAAGGTTCTGTCCTCATCTCCATTCAGCTACAAGGTTCTGAAAACTACTCTATTTGGAGTAGATCTTTGAAAATTGTGTTGCATAGTAAAAAAAAAGGTTTTGTCTTAGGCACATGCAAAAAAGTAACTATGATGTTAGCCTTCATGATCTATGGGATAGGTGTAATGCAATAGTGTTGGCATGGATTATGAATACTGTAGCACCAAATTTGATTAGCACTGTCACCTATGCTTCTGATGCTTATACTGTTTGGGAAGACCTAAGGGAACGATTTGACAAAGTAAATGCATCTAGAGATGCTTATCTACGTAAAGAAATTGCTACTTTAACACAAGGAGTGTCCTCTGTGTCTGTGTATTTCTCTCGCTTGAGAGAACTGTGGGATGAGTATGAAACACTTACTCCACCACCTTTATGTGGTTGTCCTGAATCAAAGAAACAAGTAGAACACTATCAGCTTCAAAAGCTTTATCAGTTTCTGACAGGTCTCAATGACTCCTATGAGAATGCAAAAAATTAGGTGCTTATGACTAGACCATTACCCAATCTACACGAAGCTTATGCCATGATAATCAATATAGAAAGTCAAAGGATTACTGGAAAAGGTATGAATAGTGCTAATGATAACAATGAAGCTACTGCAATGATGAGTAATAGAGCTCATAATAGTGGTCATAATGGAGTATATAATAATTCTAGAGGTTAAACCAACACAAGCTACTCTGGAGGTTACAAACCTAAGAATTTCTTCAACAAGTCAACAGTTCAATGTGGCTATTGTAAGTGTAAAGGTCATACAAAGGAAAATTATTTCAAGATTCATGGATATCCTAGTGATTTCAAGAATAAGAGAAGAGGAGGAACTTTTAATGCTTAAGCAAAAAATGTGAACAACAATCTGAATCATATGGAGAACATTATGGAAATTTGCCTTCAGAGACACAAGGCAATCAACTGAGCTATCTTGCTCCAGCTCAGTTCTTTACTCCAGAGCAATATCAGCAAATTCTATAGATGATGAACAAGGGCAAAGATATTGAACCTATTGCTAACTTAGCTACTACAGGGACAATGGGTATACTACATGCTTTTATGTCTACTTTGGTGGATCATAATTGGATAGTAGACACGTGAGCATCTAATCACATGGTGCATAGACTAATTCTGTTGGACTCTTATGAAGAAGTATCAGAGAAGGATAAAAATGAAGTCCAATTGCCTATTGGAGAACAAGCTTCTATTACACACACTGGAATCTGTTCTTTCTTCAGAAATAAGAAAATTCAGAATATACTTCACCTTCCAGATTTCAAGTATAACTTACTTTCAGTGTCTAAGATTACAAAAGAGCTAAGGTGTTTGGTGGCATTCTTTCCTAACTTTTGTGTCTTTTAGGAACTCTTCAATGGGAAGGTACTGGGGATTGGTAGAGAAGAACTTGGACTCTACATCCTCAAGGTTGCAGACAGACAAACTCCTGATCATCATATATCACCAAGTGTAAATACCATTGTTAGTACAAATAAGACTGGTAGTCAGAATAATACAAGTTCATGTAATGATTCCTCTTTGTAGCATAGAAGATTAGGACATGCTCCTCTAAAAGTACTGCAGAAATTACATAATCTTCAAGGTTTTCTTAGAACTGAATATCAACATTGTACTGTATGTCCTATTGCAAACCAATCAAGGCTACATTTTCCTCTTAGAACCTCTTGCTCTACTTCTATGTTTGATCTTGTTCATGCAAATGTTTGGGGTCCATATAGATTACTAACTCATGATGGCACGAGATATTTTTTAACCTTGGTGGATGATTTCTCTAAATATATCTGGATATTTCTTTTAACTACTAAGGCAGACACAATTGTAGTTTTAAAAAACTTCCTTACAATGGTGTCAAATCAGTTTAAAACTATAGTCAAGTGCCTCAAAACTGACAATGGCACTGAATTTATGAATGATCAAGTCCAGCATATGTTGTAAAGTCTGGAAATTTTTCATCAGAGTTCTTGTGTCTATACACCCCAACAAATGGGGTGGGGGAGAGAAGGCATAGAACTATATTAGATATGTCTAGAGCTCTCAGGTTTCAGGCCTTTATACCCCTGAGATTTTGGGGTGAGTGTGTGTCTACAACAGTATATCTACTGAATAGATTACCCACTGGTCTTCTTCAAGTTAAGTCTCCTTTTGAAGCACTATTTCAGAAGATACCTTCTCTACAACATCTTAGAGTATTTGGCAGTTATGTTATGCCACAAAAGTGCAGAAAGGGGATAAGCTCAGTATTAGGGCAGTTCCAGCAGTTCACATGGGATATTCATTTTCTAAAAAGGGCTATATTCTCTATGATTTACATTCCAAGGGCTTCTTTGTTAGTAAAGATATTGTTTTACAAGAAGACATATTTCCCTTTAAACACATTCAACTTGGAAATTCTCCCTTGTTTCCTATACTAGAGTTCACAAATGCATCAATTGAAAAGAGTGCTAGTCACCCTACAAGTTTACCTACTTCTGATGCCAACATCAGTCTTCTTCTTCTAGTTCTATCTATGATGACAATTCTGAACCAACCTCTCTTATTCCTCCTCATGCACCCTCAGTCTCTCATGAAGGTCTCAGAAGATCCTCTAGGCCTTCGAAACCTCCTATATGGCTAACTGATTATATCATTCAGCCTATAAAATCCACTTGTCCCTATCCTGTATCACAACATGTCTCTTACAGTTAACTCTCTCCAGAGTACATGGCTTCTCTTGCTGCATATTCAGTTATTGTTGAACCCAGCACATTCAAAGAAGCAAGTGTCGATCCTAAGTGGGTTGAAGCTATGCAGGCTGAGATTTCAGCATTACAAGACAATAACACCTGGTCCTTGGTTGATCTGCCTTAAGGGAAGGTTCCTATATGGTGTAAATGGATTTTCAAGGTTAAGTACAAGTCTAATGGTGAGGTGGAAAGATATAAGGCTAGACTAGTAGTCAAAGACTACAGTCAACAAGAAGGCCTGGACTATATAGAGACATTCTCCCTTGTGGCCAAGATGGTCACAGTAAGGGCTATGGTTGCACTAGCTGCTGCATCTGGTTGGTACATTTTCCAAATGGATATTCATAATGCATTCTTGCAGAGGAGGTCTATATGCAAGTTCCTGATGGCTTTTCAAGCCAGGGGAGACTCAAAAGGTTTATAAACTACATAAGTTTTAGTATGGTTTGAAGCAAGCACCTAGGTAGTGGAATCTTAAGCTAACAGAGGCACTCCTAGACATGGATTTTACTCAAAGCCACTATGACTATTCGCTCTTCACCAAAAGAATAGGAGCTAATCTTGTAGTCATCCTAGTCTATGTGGATGATTTGTTGGTAACTGGTAGCAACTTACTTCTTATTCAGCAAGTTAGAAAAGATTTGCACGAGAAGTTTAAAATAAAGGATCTAGGGGAGCTAAAGTATTTTCTTGGCATTGAGTTCTCAAGGTCTCAAAAGGGCATCTTAATGTGTCAAAGAAAATATGCCCTAGAATTGGTGTCTGAGCTTGGTTAGCAGGAGGAAACCAGCCTATATACCTCTTGAGTTCAATCAAAAACTTACCTCTGTTGAGTTTGATCAAATAGTGAAAAACAGTGACTTTGAAGATGTGCAACTTGAAGAGAAGGGAAATTATCAAAGACTAGTT